GGGAGAGGAGCTCCCCCCCTGCATCCACCCCTCCTGGGGCCGACTCCCAGGGGCGAGTCGTTTCCGATCGGCGTGGCGACGGCGCCAGCTACATGCCAAGTGCTGCCCCATCCTTGTCCCTGAGCGGCGGCGGCATCGCAAGATGCCGGGCGCTGGTCTACTCGATGACGCGCCCACGCCTGGCATGTAACAGCATGCCGTGCGTGGTGCATATACACATACAAATGGCCTACCACGTTCTGAGAAGCAGGACTTGGGAGCATAATCGGCCCTGGCAACCAGGGGGTGCCAGGAGGACCGATGGGGTGCACCACAGGTCGGCTGTGAGTATGGGGGGGGGGGGGGACGGATGGCAGCAGGGGAGGGGCGCGGACACCCACACCTGGGGATGCCACCAACGGGACACCAGTTGGGGACTCCTGGGCCAAGAAAGCGGGGGGGGGGGGGGAGCGCGCGAGATTGTGGACGAATCACAGATCCCGGGAGCGAGGGAGGGGCCCGACTCCGAAAGCCGGCTCGGCTCACACAACACCACCGAAGGGAGGGGGGGAGCGGGGCGCGGGGTCTCGGCTGGGCGTGGCCCTCCGCTGAGAGAACCGGGGATGAGAAAAAATGAAAAATAAAAATAAACACGACTCCTGGGTAAAGAAGCACCCCAGTCCAAATGGGACAGGCACATTGATATGCCCCCCTCCTCCACCCCCCGCCCCAGGTACCCAAACTCAACATTAATACTTCATCATCGAGCCAGGGGGGTGGGGCGAAAGTACACCACGGCAAGGGGGGGATAGAGGCACATACAGGCACACACAGGTCGAGGCACCGCCGCGCCCAGGGGGCGGATGCATGGGCTCCTCTACGAGGACGCAAGTGTTGCACATACCAGCCGCTCGTAGAATGGCCGGGGGCACCACGCCCTGAAAGCGGCCTTTCCCCTGCCCGGAGCAAGAAAAGGGGGAAGTATGCGCCGACGGGTGCCTCCGGCCGCTGGGGCGAGCGCGCCCCCCCCCCCCCCCCCTTGGAGCCAGACAACAGGGGTCGGCGAGGGGGGACGCCAAGAGGCAGGAGTGGACACCCCCGCATCCACCTAGGCATATGCACATGGTCACTCACGAAAGAGGATGAGAAGGAGGAAGGGCGCCGCGGGGGGCGGGGGCGGGGGCAGCCCCGCGCATAATGTAACTGCGCGACATAGGCCATGACTGCAGCCTAGCGCGGTCTTGGTGCGCGCGCGCGGGGGGGAGGGGGGGGGGCAAGCCAGAGGGATACATCCATGCTCGCAGAAGGACAATATACGCGTGCTGGTCCTCGCGCGCGTCCCGGGGGAGGGGCAGGGTTGCGGGCCACCGCCGGGTCGAACGGCCGTGAAGGCCAAATTGGGCGCTGGCGAAAAATAAACAGGCGCGACCGACTGCCGGGAGAGGCCAGGCACAAACGCCGCCCGAACCCAGACGCGGGTTCACGCGAAGGGGGGATTGCGAAAAAACCCAAACAAAGGGCAATCCCTGTCCTTCGCCCTCCCCCGGCACGTGCACCCCCCTCCCCAGCTGGAAACCATCCCCCCAACCGGGGTCTCGCGGCGTCTGACAGGGCTTGCTGCCGGCCTTCAAGCTGGGCCTTTTCTTCGTGTCCCGCGCGCCCCTCGGCTCCGCTGCTCGCGCCAGGGCGAGACACCCATGACACGACCGCCGAGAAGGCCGTGAAATGGGGACCGGGCCACAGGTCAAGAGAGGGGGGAGAAGATCGCTGCGGGCGAATTTGCAACCGCCCGACAATGAGCCATCTCCCAGAAGCAGATCACCGGAGTGACCGGGCATGAAAGGCCCCCCCGGTCACAACCCGCGGGGGGGGGGGGGGCGCGCGCGCGCGCGCGTGCGCCCGAGCGAAGGCCAACACACCCAAAGGGCCTAGAGTCCCAGGGGTGTCATTTTCGGCGCGCATCCGTTGGCACTACGATGCCCCTGGCCCCCTTGTCGCGGTGTGTGGCGGAATGCGGCCACGGTCGAACATGCCCATACACCCGCCCCCGGGCACGGCGCGCTCCGGACCAGATCGAACGCGGCCTGAGGGTGGTCTCCCACGCCGGAGAGCGCGCCCCCGCCGGGGTCCCGGCCTCAGGGGCACTGTTCCTTGCCCCCCGCGTGCGTGCGTGCGTGCGTGCGTGAGGGGGGGGAGGAGGGTAAAGCAGCGGCCGCGTCGGCCCGAGGCCCCATCCACCACGCGGCAACCTCCTCCTCGCCCCGCCACAACGCCTCAGTCTCTGTCGCATGTGCATCTGGGCCGCGTCCCGAGGAGGAGGGGCGTCCCCGGGGCGGCGGTCGAGGGGGTGATTCATCACCCTGCCTGGACTCGCGTCCCGACGGACCCGTCTTCGCGGCCCGGGACACGCGCCCAGGCAAGGCAGGAAACATGCGCCACCACGCAACAGAGGCAGGGACAGAGAGATCGAGGGCAGAGGGGATACGCCCCCCCCCCTCCAAACCAGAGGGGGCAGAGAGGCGTCCACTGGCCTGAGAACATTGCCCGCCGCCTGCTCATCGCACACACGCACGCAACATCCCACAAAGCCTTTCCAGTGCCGAGGGGCGCCCCGGAGTCGGGCCTGAGTCCCAGCCCGCGCCGGCTTGCTGCCGGATTGGGCCGGGCCTGGCGCGCGGGGGAACACCGCACATGCCCGACTCCTGGTGACTCTCCATGGGCCAGGACATTGAGGCCGCCAGGGGCGCCCCCTTGCCGGCCGCCAAGGGCTGGCGCCGAGCACGGGCCGAGTCGGGGACGAGGCGCCGCCAGGGGAGGGGTAGCACCAAAGGGGCTGCGTGCCAGGGCATCCTCGCCAGTACGAGTGGACAAACACTTGGTCGAGCGATTGGCGCTCCAGCCAGGAGGGCACACATATGCGTGTGCTCCGCCCCCCCCCCCCCCCCCCCCCCCCCCCCCCCCCCCCCCCCCCCCCCCCCCCCCCCCCCCCCCCCCCCCCCCCCCCCCCCCAGCCCCCCCCCCCCCCCCACTCCCCCATTGGCCGACATCTGGGACAGGAAAGCGCCAGCACAGCGCCACACATGTGCGTGGCTCTCCGCGGGCGCCACAGCCCGCCATCATCGTGGCAGGGCCCAATTTGGGTGCTCGCGCGTGGCACGCATGCGGCGCGTCACCCCCGGCGTCCGGTTCCTTCCCGGAAGGGGGACCCCGGGGGGGCTTGCTTACTCTCCCCCCTCCCCCGCCTACCCCTCGCCCTTTCCCAAAGGATGGGCCGGGGGGAGGGGGGTGAAACGAAAGGGGAAGGAAGCCATATGAAATGACAAACAGCACTCGGGGGAAAGAAAGAAAGGCAGAGGGCAGAGAGAGAGGGGGGGGGGGAAGACGAAGGGGCTGAGCCACCTCCGGCCCCCGCATGGGCGTCTCTCCGATTGGGGATGTGTGTACGCACCGCGAGCTCCATGCGAATGTGGTAGGTGTCAGCACGACCGCGCAGGAGCCAGACCAACAGCAGGGCCAGACCCTTGGTGATGACCTGCAGGGCGATGGTGACGGGGAAACTCCCAAGGAAGCACCCAACACGGGGGTTGCCACCGACGAACTCCCCAGGCGGAAGCAGAGCATTCGGGGTCTGACGCCACAGCAGGTGGCCGATGACGCCGAAGAGCAGGGCGCTGAACAGGTAGATGGCCAGCTGCCAGCCGGTGCTGTAGATGCTACGCAGAGCGCGAATAATCTTGTACCGACGAGTGGTCAGCTCGTCACGCAGCACGAGGGTGTGGTACTCGTTGAAGATGTACAGCTGGAAACCACGACTCAGGAGCGGCTGTGTCGGAGCGGATCGCCGGGGTGTCAGAGGGCAGGCCAAGGGCCGAGGTTGGGGGAGCCAGCGAGGGAGGAGGGAGAGCCATCAAGACAATTAGAGACCGAAGACAAGGATTGGAGCAAGAAGCAGCGCCATGTCGAGACAGGGAGAGGGAGAGGGAGCACACGTACGAAACCGTAGAGCACACTGGAGATGACGGACGAGGTGTAGGGCAGGTGGCAGCTGATGCCCGGGCGCTTGCTCAGCAGCAGGGCAATCGAGTGGAAGAAGCAACCGAAGCAGGTGAGGGCCGTGAGCAGCCAACCACGCGCGCGGACCGGCTCCTGGCGGATACGGTACGAGTAGAAAGCACACGATGCCACCATGATGGGCATCAGCACCACGATGAAGTAATCGTAGAGGGTCCACATATTTGCGCAAGGGCAGGGACCTGTGTCGTGGAGGCCCGAAGATGGAAATGGGCGAGAAAGTGAAGGAGAGCAGGCAGCGAGCGGGGGCGAAAGGGACAGGAGAGACGGGACCGGGTGAGCGGGCGTTACACCAAGGCGAGTGTCTTGTGATGTGGTCACGAGCCTACCTTAAACTGAAGGTCGGTTAAGACGCGATCAGTAGAGAGGACCTGTCCGGGCGGCAGAGGTCGGTCAAGGAAGGGGACCCGGGTGGATGCATGCATCGGGGCAGAGGGGCAAGGGGACGACATCGGTGTGAGGGGGCAGACCGGGGAGAGGAGTGAGAGGGCCCGAGGGAGGGAGAGGCGAAGAGACCGAGGAAGAGAGAGGCGGGAGAGGGGAGAGGAAGGGGGATAAGATTGACACGAAGCAAAGCAGGGTGTGGGGCGATGACCCACGCACCGGAAAACACCAAGCAGGAGGAGGGGCAGGGCGAGAATCAAGCTCCTCGGAAGGGAAGGTGTCCTTCGTGAGATTCCGACGCAGCAAGGGAAGCGGGTCACACGGCAGGCGAGGAGGAGAGGGGGCACAGGGGGAGGGAAGAGGGGGAGGGCAAATATGGGTGGGGCTGAGAAGGAGGAGGGAGGATAGTCGAGCTTTCCCGAGACGGTGGAACTCCGACGGCAGAGACTCGTGTGGGCGGGGGATCTGGCAGACCCGAAATTGCAGGGCGGGTCCATAAGAAGAATGGCCCAGCACGGCAGGGTACCCCGCCGAGGCCGCGGGGCAGTGTGCCTGCCGGCGTGCGTGTGCACCCTTGCCATGTCCCGGCCTCCGTCCGGCCCCCCGCCTCTCCCCCTCCCTCCCCTCCCCCCCCCCCCCACCCCCCCCCCCCCCCCAGCCTGCTCCCCGGATTCCCCCCCCCCCCGCCGCACCCCCGCCCCCCCCCGCCCCCCCGCGGCCCCCCCCCCCCCCCCCCCCCCGACCCCCCCGCCCGCCGTCCCCCCCCCCACCCCCCCCCCCCCCCCCCCCCCCCCCCCCCCCCCCCCCCCCCCCCCCCCGCCCCCCCCCCCCCCCCCCCCCCCCCCCCCCCCCCCCCCCCCCCCCCCCCCCCCCCCCCCCCCCCCCCTGGTGTGGCCCCCTCCGACATCGAACGCGCGGGAGAGGAGCTCGAGCCAAGACCGGGGGAATATTGTCGGAGGTCATTCCTTGGTGGCAGGCGCTATGGTGCCCTTCTCCGGGTGGAAAAGGGCACCCCCAGGAGAAAGGACATCCGGGGAAGCGAACTATGCGGGGCGATTGCTGGCACGCCCGCAGCAGGGCTTGGCCGGCGGATGGCGCCGGAGGCGGGCGTTCACGCGGGTAAGTCCACGCCGGGGAAACGGCCGGGGGAGGGGCGCCGGACGCGCCCCTGGGCGAACATGATAAACTGCCCCGCTGGGCAAAGTATCGCGTTGTGTCAAAGTGCAAGCTCGGCCTGGCGCGAGACGTGGCCCTATCCAGCCCGGAAGGAGGGGCGCCCGGGAGCCACGGCCGGGCCATTGAGAGGCCCTCTCGGAGGAGAGCCGGCCGGCCGGGGGAAGGGGGAGGCGGGGGGGAGGGGGGCTGTGAAAGGCAACAAGGAACGCCCGCGCGGCCCCTCCACTCCGTGGGGTGGGGATGCCCGCGCGGCCGCCAGGCCAATCCGGCCGAACGACCGGGCGCGGCCCCCCCTCGGCAGCCAGTCGGGGCTTCTCCATCATGGCCGACACGGGCCCGGACGAGGCGTTCCGGTTGGGATCATCTCTGGCGGCCCGGGTCGGCCGGGGCAAAACACGCCCCTCTTGGCGGGCAAGGAGTCGACCTGCGCGTTTGTTATGGTCAGCCAGGGGAAGTCCAGCTTGAAAGCGCCGCGAACCGCCGGCGGGCTAGAGGAATGTGCGACCGTCGCCGGGCGGGCGGGCGGGGCGGGGCGGGGCGGGGCGGGGTGCCTGGCGCAGGATCTAGCTCGGCCCCGGATCTCCCTCGGCCGTGCTAGCCTCCGTCCGGAGATCCTCCCGGCGGCCGGATCCAAGGGGAGCCTGGCCACCGAGAGGTGCTCCTTTCGCCCGGGCGAGAGCCGCCCTCCCGGAGGCGGGACCGAGGGGAAGAGGAGGCGCGATGCCGGCGGAGCCTCCCTCAATATTGGTCGAATATATTATTCCACCCTTTTCATGCAGGCCACGAGGGGGGGGGGGGGGGGGGCCCGGGAAGCACACTGCGATGGCCCCCTCCTAGGGGTAGCTGGGTCGCCGGCGCGTGTACTCGCCGGCCGTGGGCTTTTGGCGGTTCTAGATTGGCGCACGTCGTCCCCCCCAGGTCCGGGAGGGAGGACGCCTACTAGACCGGACTCGGTGGCCGCGCTGGCCAGGCAGCTCCGCACACTCTCGAGCGTGTGAGGTCGCCACTTCGTGCGGGAGGGGGGGGGGGGGGGAGGGGTCGCGATCGCGAGTGCATGCGGCGCGCCGAGGCAGGACCATGCCGGTCGGCCAGCCGTTGCCAAGGAGGCGGCTGGCCCCCCGGCCGGGGCCCGCAGCTCGTGTACCCTACCCCAGCCCGGTGTTTGGAGCACCTCCACCCGTGCCGGCCCTTGGCGCGCTTCCGCGGGGGAGCGGTGCGCCGTCCCCCGCCCGAGGCTCCCCTGAGCGGGATATTGAGCGTTCGATGGCGCGGCGCCGGATCGGCCGGCCGGAATGAGGGGAGCCATTCCGCGGAGGCGGGGCTGCAACGGAACAGGTAGCCGGCCGCCGGCGTTGGGGGCCCAAGGCGGCCCCTCTTTCGCCGCTGGCGGAACTATTCCGCGCCCGCCCCATCCCCTCTCTCGGCCTGTTCCCCGGCGGCCCAGGGTCGGCTGCCGATGGGGGACGCTCGTGTGGGGG